TGGGAGCTTGTTCTGGGAGAATTGAGAAAAAGAGTACTCAAAACTACTCAGCCTTTTTTGAAACCCTACTAAAACTTAAGTAGATTATTGATGATGAAGTTAAAATGGTACTTTAGACGAGTGCTGAATCATAATTCCATGAAAAATAATCTCTAAAAAGATATAGCTTGCAGTTCGTACAGTGCTTTTGGCTACTCTATTATCAATTGAACTTGAAATAGCCATAGCATGACAAAAAGCTACAAAAGATCCAATTGAGACCTGGATACAAACATAATTAAATACAAAGTTTTGTGTTACTCGTCTCTTCAGACAAGAATTAAACTTTCCTAAAACTCCTTGAGAAAAGATAAGCACAAGCGATATTCCGATCTCTGAGACGGAAATAAACTCACACCTTTGGATACCAGAGACATGGTCGTAAATATCGTGTTTTGCAGAATTAGACCCAATTTTGTATCGGACTTCTGTTAGACTCAAGATAGTTTGCGACATCATCGGTTACTATTAGATCCGATTCATGCTTGTAAATAGGTACTTTAAAAATCGTTTACACACCACTTGGTATAAATAACATGTAATCCTCTAAATGCTTAACCCATTAAACTATCTAGATTGTTATTAAAAACTCTGCTTACTTCAACAAATATGCTTGCCCACGCTAGAACTCTATCTCGGATTTTTTCTAGCAGCACACCTGGCACGAAAACTTCCACATTTTTCATGATTTCTGCTATGGCGATCTTTTAAATAAAAATATTGTAGAGGACACTTTCATTTCATATTAAAGTGAATGAAAAAGAAATTCATGCATTGATCTCACCAGAAGACGAAAGTTCATTCCTGTTGTAAACCCGTAAGCTGAATGAATGTGGTGAGTCAATGTGGTCATAACTTTTGTCTATGTAAATAAACTAGAGTATGATCCAGTAGTCCTAGGTCTTGTTACAGCTTTGTGGATGCGTGTTTTCATGTTTATGCAACAACCCCGAGTTGGTTGACAATTTTTGGTTCAAAAACAGGCTCAAGTTTAGTCTAGTCTTCTCTACTTACTTAGTGGCTCTTCCTGTTTCCTTTTCTTTTTTTCTCTCTCATCCTATTTACAAGCTAGAGATAGTTCTTGCTTAGTTTCCTACAATCGTTTTATTTATTTAAGATGCTCTTCCTTTTATTAATTTCAATTGACTCTGTGATCTCACGTTTAGCTGTCAAGTCCCCATATCCGACAAAAAATTAGGATTTAGACCGTTCTATCTGGCGTCCTGTAGCGACCCCATGTTCTGCCACTTCTGGTTTTTGAATCCATAAATCTTTGCAGGCAGTTATTTGTTCTGATAGCCTCATATGTATGGGTCGACAAGTTTCCCCCACATGAGCACAAAACCTTATAACAACCTGATCTGCATAGGACTTCTAAAGATTCTATAAAAGAATATATGATCGAGGAAAGCGTTATTGTTTTCCTATACATTGTCTTGATGCTCCACTTCCTCAATAATTTACCTATCTTTCATGAAAGCTTGCAGGATGGTAGCATTGGGAATGTGGGCGAAGAAGATATGTTAATAAGTTTTGATGTAGTATCGATGTACACAATGGACCGATAAATGAGACAAAAAAGGCATTAGGATTAACCTTAGATCTACATCCAGAGATAATATCAGGAAATAAGATGAGCAAGAAGTCAATCATGCGATTAATGAATTTTATCTTTGATGAAAAATTATATGAGCAAGCCGGAGGGTTAGCTATGGGATCGTGTCTGTCTCCAGTTTTAGCTAATAACTACATTGCCTTATTCGAAGTCCGGCTTTTTCAAGAGTCACTCCTAGTTTCGAAACTATTGGTCAGATATATATATGAATACTTTGCTATCTGGCAGCATGGTAAAGAATATTTGGATGACTTCCTTGATTGAATAAATAGAGTAGCTAGGGCAACTGAATTCATTATGATGCTACAAAAGGACAATAAGGTACCCTTTTTAGATGTCCTAGTTAGGAAGACGTATATAGATAACCAACAAATGCTGGTTTCCTTCTTAAGTTCTTCTCGAATCATATTTATGGTGTTAAGACAGGCGTAATGAAATCAATGATAATAAGGCGATTACGCCTAGGGGACGTAACTCATAAAGAACGGGAGTCAGAAAGGCTAAGAAAAATCTTAGTTGACAACAATTATCCTGTAGGATTAATTAAAAACCATTTTAAAATATTGAGTAATAGGGTGAAGGAAAATCCTTATTTTTGACAGAACAAAGAAATAGACTACTCTTTGTCCAGGTTTCTAATGCTACTATCCTGCAAGCTCTCATGAAAGATAGGCGAATTATTAAGAAAGTAGAACATCAATACAATCTATAAAGAAACAATAACGCTTTCCTCGATCATGTCTACTTTTATAGAATCTTTAAACGTCTTCTGCAGATCAGGTTGTTATAAGGTTTTGTGCTAATGTGGTAGTGTTTATGGGGGGGAGACTTGTCGACCCATACATATGAGGCTATCAGAACACAGAACCGTCTGCAAAGGTTTATGGATTCAGAAATCAGAAGTGGCAGAACATGGAGTCGCTACAGGACACCAGATAGAGCGGTCTAAATCCCATATTTTTGCCGGATATGGGGACTTGACAGCTAAACGTGAGATCACAGAGTCAATTGAAATAAATAAAAGAAAGAGCATCCTGAATAAGAGGAACGATTGTAGGAAACTAAGCAAGAACTATCTCTAGCTTCTAAATAGAATGAGAGAGAAATCTCAGCTGGCTACCTTTCTCGGATTTGATATTTTAGTGATTTTTCTGTGAATAGTGCTTTCTTGCTCTGACGATGTCCGTCAGATGAGGAACGAAAGCTCAGCGCAGAGTCATCGGGGTCGTAAGACGGTGAGCCGATGTGTTCTTCACCCAGTTCAGCGGACAAAAGTCTCCTACAACGTCATGGGCTCATTAAATACCTATGATTGAATTTGTCTGATTGCCTTTTGGTGCTCTTCTATAATAAGGAATCGTCAAAACTTTATTAAAAACCGAGTCCTTTTCAATATTGCTATTCATATTGCCATTCGACTGACTTATTATTATGTGGTTCTTCTATTGCTTAAGCATTAGAATGCTTCAACTGATATAATGTCTCTCAAGTCGCCTTTTTTCGTCAGTCACATAGTTAGGGTGACTATATAATTCTTTCGTAAAAAATCTAGGCCCAGAGGTCAAAAAAATATAGCCCATAAAAGTTTAATACAGAATTAAACATACGTCTTATTGTGATCCCAAATCTTAACTGTCCAGTCAGCTGAACACGTGATGAAGATGTTAGGATGGAAGGGATTCCAAGCCACTTTATATACCGCCATGTGATGAGCCTCATAGCTGCTAAGATACTCAGAACTGTACGCTTTAGAGCATTTGTGCACCATTCCCTCCTCTGTAGCGACCAAAAACAGATGTTCTTGTGTAGAGTGGAAATCGAATGCAGTGCCACAATCTGAGTAATACGGGACACAAAAAAATGAAGAGCAAAATAAGATATAGAGGGATAATCACAGAGAAAGAGGGCTATGATATATATATATATGAGAGCTAAGATGGTCAGATCGTTAATATGCTTTGCATCTTTGTTGTCTTAAAGTGATTTAAGGGTTAATAGGTTAATTTTCCTCAACATATATAAATTATTATACTAAGCCTTGTCTCCCAAAACCTCTTATCATCCAAGGTGGACTATAATTTTGACTTATCCTGGCTTTCATTGATAACCTATATATAGGAGGCAAGGCTACATAAAATTAACTGGCATCATGAAGCCCTATATTTGTTTAACTGCAGCCTATTCAACCATCATACCTCATATCGCCTTGAGCAACGTTAATCCGATCAATTTCTTGGTCAAGCACTGCTGATACTTTCAAAGCCCATCACAATTTTTTTCGTAATTTTAATCTTATTTTCCCGATTTGTCTATGTTTAGTTGAAAAAGTAAACATTGCAACTTAACTTGTTCTGGTTCATGACATGAGCTGAGGAGGCAGAAGAGGATGTCAGCAAAAAGTCCCAAAATAATTCGGGTTGATCTTGGAAGAACATATTATTGCATATACTACTAATATAAACTTCTCAAGGTATATATGTCAATATGGTCATGCTAGAAAAAACAAAGTAGAACATATAAATAAATAAAGGCTTAGTTTCGAAGACTCCCTTACAAATGTAATGCTACTCGGCATTCCCCTTCGAAGGAAAAGTTAGTTGAAAGGCATTCATGCATTTAAAACACCAAAGAAGGAATGTTTCAGGGTGGAGACAGTTGAATTGCGCGATTATGTCCTGGGCTCACCTTTATTTGATTATAATCC